TCCCCAGAGTGACGGGATGGTAGAGTATCTGCACAGGACTCTTACGTCCAGAATGGCCCCTCACGCCTCAACGGGGTTATCCTCCTTTTTCCTCATGTATGGGAGGGAATGTGATCCCCCATGGAGGCTCAGTTGAACATGGATCGAGGCAAAAAGGTCGCGGTGCCCATGCAGCTAACAATCAAGCGGCTGACGGAAGCATGGGAGGCATCTCGGGATAATTTGGCCAAATGGCAAGCCACCAATTAAAAGCTTGTGGGACTCCATGGATCCGGAAACCCATGGAACCTTGGGGACAAGGCGTGGCTGCATTTCCGCCAGGTGCCCCTGGCCACGTCCCCTAAATTGCACAAGCGATGGCAGGGCCCGGTTGAGGTGATTGAGGTCAGGAGGCCACAGTGCGTGCGAATCCAGGTCAGTCGCAGGCGTTGGTATGCGTACCCATCACGGCTGAAACCCTATTCTCCACCTTGTGATGTCGCTTCATCCCCACTACCTGAAGGCCGGGTGTCTAATGTGTCCGACAAGGCCAGGCGTACGGTCTCGGAGGGTGTGCCTCAGCTGAACTCCGTTCTTTTGCCTACAGGATCCCAGCGCATGACACCCGCGGACCCACCAGCGATGCTGTCCACAGACGGATCAGGGATGACGGAACAGCCACCATCCACTTCTTCTTCCCCTTCATCTCTTCCCGGGAGGTGCCGCGCCCGTTCGGCCATTTACAAATTGTCCGGGGGGTCCTCAGGAAACCCATTCTTGTCCCGCCTGGGAGCCCGGCGATGAGGACCCGTTCCAAAACTGTTCGTTTCAAATAGCCCGCCGCCTTCCCGTTGTTCCATTTAGTCCCAACGCCGTCTGGCGGGTGGCCACAGAAGTGAGCCGGGCTGTGGCTGTCGGTTGATCTGAAGTTCTTCCCTTGCTCGCGGGTATTGTTGTATCCCTGGGAGTCGGGTTTATTGCTGTGCATTCGCGATTGTTAATTGTCCCGGTGAGTATTGTTCTTTGTTATTTCGATTCGCGGGGGGTATGTTGTTATTGTTCACTCGCGAGGGGGGGCTAACGGTTGTTGTTGTTGACACGTGAGGGGGGGGGGGGGCTAACGGTTGTTGTTGATGTTGTTGTAATCGGGATTGTTGTTGGTTGATGGTGGATCGGCCCGCTGTGCGAGGTATGGAGGTCAGCCGGGACGGCTGATTTTTTTTTTAAGGGGGGGTGATGTAGTGACATGGAATGGGTCACTATGGAGCATAGCGCTGGTTGCTGGCAGAGAAAGAGATCTGTGGTTGCAGCAGCCCTGTGTGTCAGCAGGTCACGTGATAAGCAGAGAGAGGGATGTAGGGCAAAGGTGATAGAGGGGGCACGTGACCAGAGAGACAGACTGTCACACACTCCCACTCACGACCAGAGAGACAGACTGCCACACACTCCCACTCTCAGAACGTGACTCGCACGAAGTAGCTCGGGTATATTTGAGTAACTTCCATCAGCGGATCCTCTCACTCACGTTGTCATGAACGTTTACAAAAATAGGCAGGTCGAGTCTTATCGTTCATCACCATGACTTGGTGTCCACGAAAAGCGACGTATTATCATCTTACCTAGGTATAAATTGCTGTAGTTGATAAGGTACCGACAAGCAGCGTGGACGGGAAGTCCGTGACACCGCTGCAACCTCTATGAGCATACCAACAATCTTTAACACGAGGGGGTGGTGGGGGGGGGGGCGTGTAGACACTTCCCGACCGGCCTGCAGCGCTTCCGCACTGCCAATAGCAGACGGGTGGTGTGGTAGCCACTGCGTGAACCACAACCCCACGTGTTCGTCACAAGCACGCAGCTAGCACATGGCTCGGAGCAGCCCCGTGTACGACTCGTACACGGATGACCGCACACACGGCTCGCACACGCCCGCGTCTCCAGCCAGGACCACGAGATGACAGCTCCTGCTGCTCCTCATCCTGCTTGGCCGCGTGCACGGTGCAGCAGGGGCCCACTTGTAAACCATCTACATTGAAATCGAATGTCTTTAGAACTGCATTTTGCGTTTTTAGTGTGTTGTCCCTCACCCCGCACCTCCGATTAGCACGGTTGGTTACGTACGGTGCGAAAGAAGTTCAACACACGTACACAGAGGTTGTGAACAGCGCGCAGCACGCAGACGCGGAGTGTGTCCAAGGCTTTCTGCGCAATTAATGTACAACAAAACAAATTTTCAATAACACTGCTTTCACGTTTCAAAAACACTGCCGACGTTTCAGACAACGGCCTTTCTAAATGATAGCTCCATGAATAAGGACTGTTGCCCAAAACATCGCTTAAAATGTATAATTGTCCTTGTTAAGCCCACACATTGTTATGGACGAACGCGCCGAGTTGTATGTATGCTGAACTCTTTTCGCACCGTACGTAGCCAACCGCGATACACACGTAACATGCCAGGGCTCCGCCAACCCCAGTCCGCGCTGACCCAGCAACTTAACCTCCCACGTCCGACAATCAATATAGTCCTTGCACGCTGCACGTGCCGAATGATTGCTAAACGCGTCCAACTTGACGTACGGTGCTCCCGATGGGAATTCGATAGCGCTCTATACGTTACGCGGGGAACGCGTGTGGTGCACACACCGGAATCTTAACTTAAATCAAGAAACTCAACACATTTGTCAATAACACTGCCTTAAAAGGGAAGAAAAGAATTGCGACGTTTCTAGAAAATTTGACTTTTTGAGCCATGAAGGGCCATTGCCCGAATCGTCGCCTTCGTTTCCCATCAAGGCCACAGTGGTATTGACGAATCTGTTGAGTTATTTGTGCTCTACGCCTAACGCAGCAGCAGCATCAGAAAATTATCATATTTTATTTCAATCACGGCTCACTCTCTCTCTAGGACACGCTAGGCGTGTTTACCAATCATCAGCAAGTGCAGCGCGAAACGAATCGGATTTGCACGGGCACAAAGGGTTCGAAAGGCAGGCGGTGGCTGGCTTGGGGGGGGGATGCACAGCGGAGGGTTCCGAGCGCTGGAGCGTGGGGAAACTCAATCCATGCCCCCCCCCCCCCCATGGGGCGATACATCTCACTCCTCGGTACAACTCCCACACCCAGAGGGTAGCGTCACATTCGAGGTTCCAATTCCTCTATGCGGCCAATCACAGCCCTGGTGCGTGTGGTGGTTACCGCCGCTGCCTGTTCACCCAGCGCTGTGGAGGCAGCAGCGAAGGGTTGGTGGATCACCGCAGATGTGATGTAACTAACCTATCCGTGCTGTGTCTACGAGGTTCCGTACACGCCACCCCCATCCATCCGTCTCAGCAGGAGGCGGTACAGCGAGTGGATTAATCTCCATCTGATGCGATTTGTACGAATAAAACCACATTTTATTTTACGAGGTAAGACCCACTGAGCTATGTAGCTCTTTTGAAGAAGCCACCTGGCCACGAATGATACCACAACGAGGTGGCTTGTCGTGTGGAAATGTATTGCAGTCAAATACTCTAAACGCGTGGTTAAACATGTGGAGGGAAAAATGCGGAGGGCTCGGAGACAAATCCACGTGACCACGGGAAGAGAGACAACGCAAACTCCCAATATACAGCAGGCGTCAGGGTCGGGATCGAACCCACGGCCTCCTGTATAACAGGCGAGGTCGTTAACATCTCGCCACAAGTATCCACCGCGTGTAATGCGTGTCATTGTTTAGTGCCACTCATTGGAGTGCCATGGTGGCGAGATGCGAACTACCTCGCCGGGTATACAGGAGGTCCTGAGTTCGATCCCAACCCTAACGCCTGCTGTGTAATTGGAGTTTGCGTGTCTCTCCCCGTGGCCGCGTGGATTTAACTCCGGGAATCAACATGCGTTTAGAGTATTTGGCTGATATAAATTTCCACGTGGTAAGCCACTTCGTTGAGCTATAATTTGTTAATAACCAGGTCGCTTCTAAAAATAACTATTTAGCTCAGTGGGCCTTAACTGGTATAATAAAAAATTAGTGTGGCTAAATAAGTAAAGTTCGCCCCACTCAACTTGTTTTTCAGAAAATGTATATTGATAACCATTTGCAGTGAGTGATGCTCTCAAAGACATCACTCTTCAGTCTTATTATCCGTATAAATAAATCTGTACGAATAAAATACGCTTTGCTGTCTGAGGTGGGGGGGGGGTAACCAATTGTTGTTACTCTGGCCTCTCTTCCCCATGTGGCGAGGCCGAGCCGGCAGCTCACTTCCAGTGGTGGAGGGATACGATGAAGACAAAGATGACCAACGTGTGGTCTTTAACAGATTATTGTTGAAGGCCTGCACGTCACCACCACACCCTTGCCACCTCGTACCGCTACAATGATGATGTTTACACAGACACACAGAACCAGGTACGGTGCTCCTTTAAGGCTGAGTCGACCTAGGGGAGGCCCGGCACCAGTTACAAGATATTCGTCACCAGTGTTGGTGGCCGTAAGCCGGAATCGAACTCGGGTCACCGGGTTTTCGTAGCGCGGCCGCGCTAACCGTTGCGCCATCGCTCCCACTCCACACGAATGCGCGTGTGCACCGCGCGTGTGCATCGCATACGGCACAAACAACAACACCACCACCACCATCAACAACACGGCGACACCTACACGCGGATGACACATCGTCACGCGCGTGCACAACGCCCAGCGAACACCGATCCGCCTGCGTCTCTGTGTGTCTGTGTATCTCTGTGTGTGTCTGTGTGGGGAGCGGTGGTGTAGTGGTTAGCGCACTGCGCTGCGACCCTGGCCACTCGAGTTCGATTCCTGCTCACGGCCAACACCACGGTGACGATTATCTGAACAGGGTCCTGGGCCTCCCCTAGGTCGACTCCGCCTCAAATGAGTACCTGGTGCGGTGTGTAAATATCGCCACTGGGGAGACAAAGGCGGTCGGGCGTGGTGCTGGTCACCCACCCCCTCGTGTGCCGTTCCGGCCTTCATAGGTGTTACTCGCTTGCAGCACGTGCCCCAACAGTCCGTTCAGGTTACACGGGGGATCTTTGTTTGTATATGGCTGTATGTATGTGTGTCTCTCTACGATGCGCGCCTGTGTGTGTGTGTGCGTGGCACTTTATAAGTGCTTGCTTGCAGCACCTGCCCCAACAGTCAAAGTCTATGGATGGGAGGGGGACCACTTTTGTGTGTGTGTGTTGTGGGGGAGCCTCTCTGTACGAACACATCCGCGTGTCTGCGCGTGCTGCTGTCACTCAACAGTCTATGCTGTTTGTTGCGGTTGCACGTGACTCAAGAGCCGCATGGCTCACAGGGCTATACCTAATAAATGAAACTTGGCGGTGGTCCGTCTTCTGCCTGTGTGTGTGTGCGGGCACGCGCGGGCAACTTCTCTCTCCGCCGTGCGCTCACACCGTGGTCTCCCCGCCCCCGCCACGTCTGCAGACCCTCGCGTAGAAGTTGCGCCACGACTGCAGCGTCTTGCCCGACCAGATCCAGAAGCCCGAGGTGATGCCCACCACGAGCGTCATCAGGTACTTGATCATGAGCACCGCGAAGTCGGGCTTCATCGGCGGGTACGGGCGCAGGGGGCACGCGACGCCCAATTCGCGGCAGCTGCGGGTCGCCCAGCTGCGCTCCCACTGCGCGCGGAACGCCTGCTCGTAGAAGTAGCAGGCGATGACGATGGTGGCGGGCACCGTGTAGAGCACGCTGAACACCCCGATGCGCACCATCAGCTTCTCCAGCTTCTCGCGCTTGCCGCCGTCGTCGTCCTTCATGACGGTGCGGATGCGGAAGAGCGACACGAAGCCCGCCAGCAGGAACGCGGTGCCCACGAAGAGGTAGACGAAGAGGGGCGCCAGCACAAAGCCGCGCAGCGCGTCCACGCTGTTGAGGCCCGCGAAGCAGACGCCCGTCAGCACGTCGCCGTCCACGTGGCCCGTGGCCAGGATGGTGATGGTCTTGACGGCGGGCACGGCCCACGCGGCCAGGTGGAAGTACTGCGAGTTGGCCTCGATCGCCTCGTGGCCCCACTTCATGCCCGCGGCGAGGAACCACGTGAGCGAGAGGATGACCCACCAGATGGAGCTGGCCATGCTGAAGAAGTAGAGCACCATGAAGAGGATGGTGCAGCCCTCCTTCTTGGTGCCTTGCACCACCGTGCGGTAGCCGCCCTCGTGGAAGCGCTCGTTGCACACCACGGCGTCCTCGAGCACGTAGCCCGCGATGTAGGCCACCGAGACGGCGCAGTAGCAGCCCGACAGGAAGATGATGGGCCGCTCCGGGTAGCGGAACCTCTGCAGGTCCACGAGATAGGTGAGCACCGTGAAGAGGGACGACGCGCAGCACAGCATGGACCACACGCCCACCCAGACGCGCGCGAAGCGCAGCTCCTGCTGCCCGAAGAACATGAGGCCGTGCGGGGTGGCGGACGTCTCGCAGGGCGCGCCGCAGTCCGCCTCGCCCAGGAAGCGGTAATTGAGGTAGCTGGGCACCGCCAGAGCGGCGGGGCACGCGAATCCCGGGGAGCCGCCTGGGCGCGTCGAGGCACCGCCGTGCGGGGTCGCGCCCGGCGGATCCTTGTGGCCCGCGCGCGCCGTGGCGGACGGCTCCGTGGGTGGTGCCGCGCCCTCGCTGTGGTTCTGCCCGACGCACAACTGCTCGGCGCCTTGCACGGGGAAGTTCTCGCAACGGAGCCGCTCGGGCCACTGGAAGCCGAACTTGTTCATGAGCGTCTCGCAGCCGTGGCGCGCCCTGTCGCAGAGCGAGCGGCACGGCGGGATGGCCTTCTCGAGCACGGTGCACACGGGCGCGTACATGGAGCACAGGAAGAACTTGAGGTCGGCCGAGCACTGCACCTTGACGAGCGGGTAGAATTGGTGCACTTCCAGCCCCGCGTCCTCCTGGCTGGTGTGGCCCAGCAGGTTGGGCAGGATGGTCTGGTTGTAGGCGATGTCCGCGCACAGTGGGATTGAGATGGGCTGACAGAACCCGTGGTCGGGGATGGTGATGCCCCGTTGGTCAACCGTTCCCGGCTGCTGCTGCTGCTGGTTCGGCTGCTGCTGCTGCTGGTTCGGCTGCTGCTGCTGGTTCTGCTGCTGGGGGTACTGAGCGAAACTCTGCCGAGTAGCGAGCGCGAGGGTCGCGGCTGTCGCCAGGATGAGGAGGAACGCAGCGCGGCGCGGAGAGAAGCGGCGCCAAGCCGCGTGCCCACCACTGCCCCGGGCGCGTCTCCTCCTCGCCATCGCGTTCACCAGGGGAACTCCTCGCTCACCCTCTCACTCACTCGCGTTCACCAGGGGAACTCCTCGCCCACCCTCTCACTCGCTCGGCCACCCTCTCACTCGCTCGGCCACCCTCTCACTCGCTCGGCCACCCTCTCACTCGCTCGGCCACCCTCTCACTTACTCGTCCACCCTCTCACTCACTCGCTCACCCTCTCACTCGCCCACCCTCTCACTCGCTCGCCCACCCTCTCACTCACTCGCCCACCCTCTCACTCACTCGCTCACCCACTCACTCGCCCACCCTTTCACTCGCTCGCTCACCCTCTCACTCGCTCGCCCACCCTCTCACTCGCCCACCCGCCCACTCACTCGCTCACCCTCTCACTCACTCGCTCACCCGCCCACTCACTCGCTCATCCGCCCACTCACTCGCTCACCCTCTCACACTCTCACTCACTCGCTCACCCGCCCACTCACTCGCTCACCCTCTCACTCACTCGCGCACCCTCTCACTCACTCGCTCACTCACTCGCTCACCCGCCCACTCACTCGCTCGCTCACCCGCCCACCCACTCACTCACTACTCACCCACTCACTCACTAACTCACCCGCCCACCCACCTACTCACTCACTAACTCACCCACCCACACACGCACTAACTCACCCGCCCGCCCACCCACCCACTCACTCACTCACTAACTCACCCACCCACTAACTCACTACCTCACCCACCCACTCACCCACCCACCAACTCACCCACCCACTCACTAAATCACTCACCCACTCACTAACTCACCCACCCACTCACTAACCCACCCACTCACTAACTCACCCACTCACTAACTCACCCATCCACTCACTAACTCACCCACCTACTCACTAACTCACCCACCCACTCACTAACTCACCCACTCACCCACCCACTCACTCACCCGCCCACCCACTCACTCACCCGCCCACCCACTCACTCACCCGCCCACCCACTCACGAACTCACTCACTCACCCACGAACTCACTCACACACTCACTCACTAACTCACTAACGCACCCACTAACCGCCCAATCACTCATTAACCCACCCACTTTCTGACTTAGGAAATTAATCAATTGCGAACCTACCCACCCATGAACGCACTCACTCCCTCTAACGCACTCCCTCCCTCTAACCCACTCACTCTAACCAACCCTCAACTACCCCTATCACTAATTCACGAATCCATCCACCTAAACATGAAATATCACCTCCATCCACGAACCGCCTCACTAGTTCACTGACTCAATTACCCAATCATTGACTCATTCACTATCTCACCCACACACTGACACAATGACAAAGTCGCTCACCAACTCACTTACCCTCTCACATACTAACTCGCTAAGTCAATAATTCGTTTATGTTCTAAATAACTCACCTAATCACTCACTAACTCACTCACTCATTAACTCACTCACTAACCTGGCCACGCCTGCCCACCACGTGGGGTGATGATGACATGAGCCTGACGTGAGTGTGTCACAGCGTGCAGTGTGAGTGTCACAACGTGCAGTGTGAGTGTCACAACGTGCAGTGTGAGTGTCACAGCGTGCAGTGTGAGTGTCAGCGTGCAGTGTCACAGCGTGCAGTGTCACAGCGTGCAGTGTCACAGCGTGCAGTGTCACAGCGTGCAGTGTGAGTGTCACAGCGTGCAGTGTGAGTATCAGATTGTGCAGTGTCACAGCGTGCAGAGGCGGTCTAGCAGGGCTCGCGGTGAGCAGAGCACTGACAGAAAGTTTGGTTATCCGCCTCCCGTGCTCCCAGCGCCTCCTCCACCCTCTCCTCCTCTCCTCTTCCTCCTCCTCCTTCTCCCCTCTAGTCCTCCTCCTTCTCCCCTCCCCCTCTTCAAGAGCAGCGCTGGGCGCGAGGCTGCAGCGCCGCCTCCCCACTCAGCCCCACCACCTCCAACCCTCACCACCCCCACTCCTCACCACTCCCAACCCTCACCACCTCCGTCCCTCACCACCCCCGCCCCGCCCCTTACCACCCCCACCCCTCACCACTCCCAACCCTCACCACCCCCACCCCTACCCCTCACCACCCCGCCTCTCACCATAACCGCCCTTCACCATAACCGCCCCTCACCACCTCCACCCCTCACCACCACCGCCCCTCACCACCCACGCTCATCACTACCAATACCCCTTGCAATCCACACACACACAACACAAACAATGCAACCGCACCCTCTGCATCTCCCTGCATCGCGTGTTACGCTGCTGGCTCATCCAGGACAGAGCTTGCTCGCAGGATGAATATGGGGGAAGGGGAGCGGCAGAGTACAATGGCGCAATTATTAATTTATTTACACGATATTTAAAACAGGACACGGGTTGGTGCGTCCCTCTGCCAACGGGCGACGTTAACTGCCGTGCACGTGGAGTCACGCGTGAGCGCCCGTGTGCTTCTGCTCTTTATCAGGAGCGACCTGGCCATCACGAATGATGATAGCCCAACGAAGTGGGCTGATATCATCGTGCGGAAATTTATAACAGTTGCCAAATATTGCAAACGCGTGGTGATGTTGATTCTAAATGTGGAGGGGGGAAACCCGGAGGACCCAGATAAAAAATGCACGCGACCATGGGAAGAGAGAGAGAGAGAGACACCGCAAACTCCAAATATACATCAGCAGGCGTCACGGTCAAAATCAATCCCACGACTTTCTGCATACGAGGCGAGGTAGTTAACATCTCCTAGCCACCGTGATGATGATGAGAAAGACACCCTCCTACCGTGGAGCATAGCTCTCCCATCTCGGACTGGATCGTCTCCACGGTAGACTGCAGTTTGGTCATATGGCCGCGTACTTGGGTCACCTCCCCGCCAACTCGGGTCACCTTGTCGTCTACTCGGGTTACCTTATCGTCTATCCCCCCGATGCCAGTCTGTATCCCGGCAACCCATCCCGGGGTTGTCTCGCGGGGTCCTGGGGGCTCCCTTTCCCGCCCCCTTACCGTCCTCCTCCTCTGGAAGCATGCTCACGATGGCGCGCTCTCGTCCCAGCCCTCGGAACTGCGCGCGCTCACTGGAGAGTATCTCGCATGCACGCGCCCGCTCAACTCACTCGCCACAAGGTGCGAGCCAAATACCACTGGGCCTTCTCGGCCGCGAGGTCCTCAATTATCTCTGTCGCGTACCCCAGGCGTGCGATCTGTGTTAGCGAAGCGCACGTCCTCGGCATAGTCGCGAAAGTCCTCGCCGGGTTGGCGGCGGCGCGCCTCTAAGGCCGCCTTCGCCTCCACATTACGCGCGCCGAAACGTAGGTCGAGCCGGCGCATTAATTCCCCCCACTGTGTTTGTGTGCTTGCGGGTAAAGCTTCCACGAAGTCGGCTGCCCGCCCATCCAAATGCATATTAAGCTGCTGTAATGCCTGTGCGTTCGTCTAGCCATTGATCTCTTTAGCACATGTGATTTTGCGGGCAAACGATTTCCATGAAGGAATCCCTTGGCCGGTGAATACACATCTCACCTTAGCGTGGAGTGAGGTGCCTCTTTCCCTTGGAGGTGTGGGGGATCGTCCCACTTCTGACACCAATTTATGGGGGCTGCTGCCCCCCGACTCCTCACTCGTGTGAGGGCTGCAGCTCCCCGACTCCTCTCCCCCTCCCTCCTTCCCTTCCTCCCTCCGCGCCACTGCCGCTCGAGTCTTCGGCCTCGCTGCCTCCGCGTCCTCCCTGTGAGGCATGACTCGTGGCTGGCGCTTGGCCACCTGGGGTTATCCACACACTCCCCGCGTACACTCCCCCAAATGTTAGGAGGGGACTCCCTGCACGTGCGTGCCCGTGCACGCTGCTGCCCACACTCGTGCACGCGCTAAAAATAGCCGTACGAATATGCACGGCCGCGGCGCAGCACCAGCACCACCAGCAGTACAACCACCACAACCGCCATCACAATAACCACCACCACAACAACCACCACAACCACCACCACAACCACCACCACAACCACGTGCTTGAATTTCGCACCCGCCGACACCCTTAAGGTGAACGTCACCACAAAAATCTACAGCATAAAACGCACGGAGTAAATAAGCCCCTGCTCTCAAACACCGGACAATGATGAAGGAACGTCGACGGGATTCGCGCGCAGTCAGCAGGATTCGCGCGCAAAACCCGGGTGAAATGATGGGGGAACGTCGACGGGATTCGCGCGCACAAACCGGGCCTAATGGCGAGCTATTACCGATGACACTCGTGCGTCAATTCATTGTGCAACCGCGCGTGGTTAGCATGGCGCAAACGCAACGACGATCGAATCGAAGCTGCCTTGCGTATTTCACCCGTTACTCATGCATACATTGAACGTCTGTGATCGTTTATCAATGAATGTGTGCCAGTCATCACACTTATGCGCGTGCTCACACCACCCCACGCTCTCTCCACACCCACAGGAACCACACAACGTCGGTATTTTATGCTAGAATTTATTCCCGATGCGACTGTAATTACACACTACCTGTCTCGGAGTCAGAAACACCCAGCAAGCAGCGTTTCCCCTATTTCTATTAAATCCCTCGGTAGGTCCCTACGCTACCTCTCCCCTCTCTCACGTACTCACGGTTCTGCCCGGACGCGCGGGGAGTCGGGGAGGAGCGAGGCCACACGAAGTTTCTTTCGGGGACAGGTCCTGGCTGTGCTGCGACGTGTCACTTGGACGCTCGAGTGGCCGGAAAATTGACTGCCCCGATTGCTGACTGGAAGTGAACCCTACTCGGTGCTCCTCTCCCGGGTTTTATGCCGTTCCACATCAAAGGGGTCCTTGGCCAAGCTCGGGGGGTTCCCAGCCAACCAGCATGCTCCCCTACGTGCCTTATCCTTCCCAGTACCCTCAGCCCGCCCAGCCAATCAGACGCTTACCCGTCGCCTAACCCCCTTCACTTCAAAGAGACCCACGTGGGCTGCTGCGTTGTCTTTGGTGCTCCAGCGCGCTCGCCCCCCCACTATCTGGCTCAGGCCATTCTCCATACGCCCGTCTTTTACCCTGCCCCCACTCACTGCTCGCTGGAAGCTCGGCTCCCTTCCCCTGTGCGGGGTGTATTCTCACGGCGGTTGCTTAGTGGGCTTGCCGTGGCCGTACAATTTTAA